TAATGAGTTTGCCGACCACTGGTCTAAGGGATGTAAAGTACAGTGTAGAGAATATAGTCAATAATATTTAATAACTATGGATGGTGACAGGTGGGTACTAGACTTATCAGGGGAATCACTTCAGAAATTATATAAACATCTAACCACTATGTTATACACCTGAAACTATTATAAAATAATATTGAATGTTAACTGTAATTGATATATAAAAAACACACAATACAGGCATTTATTGAAAAAACTATATGTAAGTGGGCCTGTGCAGTTCTAACCCTGTGTTGTTCAAGGGTTAACGGTATGCACACACACTAATATATTTATGTGTATAAACACACATACATCATGCTAACATCTGTAATATATACAAAAACTAATTTTAGGAGACAGTCTAAGGACAGAATCTGAATGCAAACAAAATATTCTGGAGATATGCTGTTAAAGATTGAGGTCATGACTCTTTTTCAGTTTAAGGACTACATAGACTTTTGATTTTAAAAACCTGGCACAATATTTGATGTAACAGTTGCTTTAATGAAGGATTGTTGGATGAAGAACTACATTAATGAAAGGACATTAATCTTTTAGTTTCAAAAATTGAATGGTCGATGGAGCATGGGCATGTATTTATTGCTTTGGTACCAAGCCCCAGGAGAAAAAGCAGGTACTACTTTAGTGCATTCCATGTATAAATCTCATTAATGATGATATTGCTGTCATAGAACAGTGTTCTGCTAAGTTGTGATGAAGAAGTGTGGAAAGTCCCATGGAATCTTGCTCTAAGTTGCTGAGTTACATTCAGCCCTGGGCCCTAGCCACAGAGGTTTAATGATTGAAGAAACCAATTTTCCTTAATGAAGACTGGCTGTGAGAACAGAAACTTCATAAGAACCATGAAAAATGTATGGTAGACAATGATCTGGAATAAATCCAAAATTAATAAGCCATATTATATTAGTTATATAAGAGAGTTTTATTCAAAAATGAAATTTCTCATGACAAAATGATTGCTTAGCCCTAATAATTTTCAAATTAGCAACCATTTATTCAGTGCTACTAGGTAGAAAATAGTGTAGAAACTGCCTAACGAAGGATTACAAAGTTGAACAGTTTATAATCCAACCCTGAAAGATAAGGCAACCTGTGAAACAAGGATAAAATGGAATATAGGAGAACAAGGATGAGGTAGAGACATTTTAAGCAACAATTACAAACAACGCAGCAATGAATAACCATGTGCCTAGTATTTCTGTATTGTTGGAAGTGTACTTTCTTTCAGGGTTAATGTCAAAGTGAGAGTGTTCAGTCAAATGGAAAACGCACATGGAGCTCTGTTGGCTGTTGCCCAATTTTCCTCCAGGAAGGTCGCGCCACTTTATATTTTCACCAGCAAGGAGTCATTAAATGTGTAAATTTTCTCCGATCTGATAGATGAGGAATGGTGTCTCAGTGTAATTCTAATTTGTATTTCTCTAGTTCTAAGTAAACTTGAACTTCTTTTCAGATGTTCAAGGGCCATTTTTATGTCATCTTGTGCATTGCCTGTCCATGACTTTTGCCCGGTTTTCTGTTAAGTTTTGGCATCCCCCCGCCCCCCGACTTTAAGAGTTCCTTGTATATTAGAGATATTAGCCCTTATTTATGATATATTGCAAATTTTTTCTCCCAGCTTCTCAGTAGTCTTTTAATTTTTGTGTATGTTTGTTTGTTTTGCTATATCTGTGCTCAGCATAGTAATTCATGCCCTCAAAGATGTCCATTTCCTAATCCCTGTAAATATATTACGTTACATGGCAAAAGGTCCTTACAGGTGTGATTAAATGAAGAACCTTCAGATGAAGAGAGTCTTCTGGAATATTCAGATGAGCTCAGTATTATCACAGGGTCTTAAAAGCTAATAAGTATTCTTAGTTGTGGTGAGAGGGAAGTACAACTCTGAAAAAAAAGGTCAGAGAGGTCAGAGGGCTGGCTTTGAAGAGGGCAGAAAGGCCATGGGCCAAGGGGAATGGAACATTTAAGAAGCTGGAAAGGCAAGGGAACTTCCGCTCTGGAGCCTCTGGGAAGTAAGGCAGCCCTCCTGACATCTTGATTGTAGACCCAAGTTAGGCCAGCCAGGAATTCTGACATATGAACCTTAATATCAGGTGGTAAATGTGTGTTGTTTAAAGCCACTAAATTTGTGATAATTTGTTAGAGCAGCCACAAAAATACTAATATACAAGGCTACTTAAAAGTTGAATAAAGAAATGTATTAATCTTTTATTGCATTTGAAGTTTGAATCATTGTTGGATAACCCAGGTTACATCCACCTGTGTTTTTTCCTTGTATTTGTATAGTCTCATTTTTTACATTTGATTCCTAATATCGTTGGAGTTTATGCTTGTGCATGGTTTGAGGTTTGAATGTAATGTTCTCTTTGGTCAAATGACCTCCCAGTCGTTTCAGCATTATTTATTAAAATACCCCATTGTTGATCAGAGACCCCATCTTTATTGCATAAAGGTGTACTTGGGTCTGTTTCTGGACTTTCTGATCTGTCTCCTGATCTGTTTATCCATGCACCAGGCACCACACCGTTTTTATTATAGGAGCCTTATAGTATGTTTTGAGTTATTTTTCCCTTTGCAGCTTTTCTTTCTTAGTGTTTTCCTGACTATTCTTGCTAGGTGTTTTTTTTTGTTGTTGTTGTTGTTTTTTTAATATGTACTTTAGTATTAACTCACCTAGCTCCCAAAACAAATCTTGTTGGTATTTTTATTTAAATTGTGTTAATTTTATATAGTAACTTAGAGAAAACTGACATCTTTATAATGTTGAATCATTCTGTCGAGAACAGTGAATGACATACTTTTTCAAGAGACTTCCAGGAGTTTTAAAGTTTTCTTCTGGTTTTATACATTTCTTCCTCTGATTTTATCTTCTTTGGTAAATGAGGTTTTCTATACCAGTATAACTTCAAACAGGTATGAAGATGATTGATTTCTGCATATTAATTTATACTGAATATGAATTTTTTATTGTTTGAGTTAATTTTATTCTTGATTCATATAATTTATATACTACTCCGTATCATGTCATCAGCAAATGGTTTTTAATTTTTCTTTTCCAATTCTTATACCTCCACTTGTTTTATCTTCTGTAACTGCACTGAAGTAGTGTAGATAGTGGCTATCTTTGCTTTATTCTTGATTTTACTAAAAATGCCTCAAATATTTCTCTATTAAGTGAGAAACTGGTGTTAAAACTGAGTGAGTGTGTGTATGTGTTTTACGTTAAGAAAATATGCATCAACTTCTATCTTCTTGAATTTTCATGAGCATGGATGTTAAATTTTGTCAAACTTTTTTAAATCATGCAGTTTTTCTTATTAGATTTATTAATGCAGTATATTATATTAATTAATATTGAGCTAAATATAAATGCCCTTTGGTCATGAAATGATTTTTATTATAGTATTGCATGGTTTTGCTCATATTTATTTAATATTTTTGTATAAAATCAGGTTACAATTTTTTTTTCTTAATTCCAGATGCTATAACAAAATACCATAAAGTCTGAGGCTTACCAACAAAAGAAATTTATTTCTCTCGGTTTCAGAGGCTGGGAGTTGGAGGTCAGGGTGCCAGCAAGGTGGGGTTCTGGTGAAGGCCATCTGTCCTGTTGCTCACTGCTCATTGCATGCTCATATAGTGGAGAGCAGAGGGAGGGGGCAGGCTCTCTCATGGCTCTTATATGGGCACTAATCCTGTTAATGAGGGCTCTCCCTCATGAACTCGTCTAATCCCAGTTACCTTCCAAAGGCCCCACCTTCTAATATAGTCACTTTTTGAGGTAGGGTTTCAGTATATGGATTTGTTGTGAATGGAAACATTCAGTCTATAATTACTGTCATTGTTATCCTTGCCTCATAAAAATAACTAGAACACTTTTACTCATTTTTCCATGTTCTGGAAAAATATGAAACATGGGTATGGTCTCATCCTGGGGATTTGTTAGAACTCCCTGGTGAAACCATATGGGCCTATACTTTTTTTGGTGGGTAGTATATTAATTAGTTTCTCTATTTCTTCTAGAGAAGTTGGTCTGATTAAACTTTCTATCCTTAATAGAGTCAATTTTGATAAATGTATTTTCTAAAGAATTGTTACATTTTGTATATATTTCCAATTTTATTTGCATAAAGATGAAATCTATAAAGTAGCTTCTACTTTTTGTGTGTGTTTTTCCATTTCAGTGATTATTGCTTATTTGATATTTCATATCTTATCTATCTTCTCCTGTTCCACATTTTTTTTGATCAAGTTATGTAGTTATGTATTTAAAAGACACAAGCTGGACCTGATTTCTTAAGGAGGTGTATTACTTTCCTGTTTTCTACTTAGTTACATTTTGCTCTGTCCTTGCCTCTTGGGAATTATTTTTCCTTTCTTAGCCTTTTAGTTGAGAATTGAGTTTCTTTATACACTTTTTTATTGTTAAATGTGTTTAGGGAGGGAGAGAGGGAGGGAGGGAGGGAGGGAGGGA